ATAAACATTTTCTGCGTTTCAATTTTTATCTATCTCTGTAGGTTTCTTAAGAGCCATATATCTACCGATGTAGTAACGACCAAACCCAATGTCCCTCCAGGGACTACGCCGGGCGAGCTGGATGTTGAGATGGAAACCCCATATTCTACCCTCAGCATGTTTGAACGAGCGCAGTGCTTCGTGGAAAGAGGTTAGAGGCGGACTTGCTTCTTCCTTTAGTGCCCTCCAGCATTGCAGTACTCCGATGTGAGGCCCTGGTGCCATTGGACTCGCGGAATCCAATCTCGTGCATATGAATTGCACGAAATTCCCTGCGTGGTCATCACAAGCTGATCGCAAAGAGCAGCGACCAGCGTGTCTCACACTCGCCATCCCTCGTAATCCAGGAGGAACCGTAGGACTTGTCTTGTGGACGACGCCTAAAACTCCAGCCTCTTCATCTTCCTCAAATCTTTCCAGAACCACACCTCGTCCACCAACCGCCCGTCCACAGGCGAATAGCCGTACTCCTTCACGAAGCCCACCTTCTCATATCCCAGTCTAGGATACACGTGCTCAGCCTCCGAGCCAACGACGGTGTCGAGCATCAGACTCCATCTGCCCAATCCCATCGCCACACTCTCGAGTTTGGCCATCATCTGCTTCGCGATGCCGCGACGTCGATGCAGCGGTGAGACAAAGAGTTTCTCCACGAGGCCGCGGAAGGGGCCGGTCTGTGAGAATGGTGTGGCAAGGGACACGACGCCCGAGACTTCCAATTCAGTTTCTGTAGAGTTTGCCGTACCAGGGGTCGGGGAATCCTGGCTGATTGAAGAACTTGTCGAGCGGATGACCGGCCAGGTTCGTCCTTCGTCGTTCCAGGGCGCCGAAACATCCTTCTCTGTCGTCCGATCCTTGACATTGGACAGACATACGATGATTTGTCTCTCTCCACGGCTAATCTCGCTCACACGCTGGTCCCACCACTGGTAGAGTTGGAAGTGTGATAATGGGGGAAGGAAAGTGGCCAAAGTGCCGTCGTCCAAGATGCATGAGGCGTGGACGTGGACTATACCATCGATGATGGCGGAAATATCAGCGACAGATTCGGTCATGACATGGATACCTGCGGAAAGAGGCTCAGACATCTTTGCCCAGCTGTCGCTCGTATCGCAATTTGTGGTTCTAAAAAGGAAAAAAAGGCCCGTAATAGTTCACAATGACTCCCTTTTTCTTGGTGAGATGACCTCGCATAGATCAATCTCACGCTTGATGATTCAAGGAGTACAATAAAGACGTGGTGTTGGCGAATGACTTGAACGAAGGAGGCGCTGGAAGTCTGCCCTTCGGACAGTGATATACTACTGCCTACACGGTACTCCGTATGTCCTTGCCTCTAATGCAAAATGACAATGTACGACTACCTGGCATGTACATATATTATATGTGATCCGTAGGGCGGGTCTTGAAATGGGGCCCAACGCGAGTCTTTTGGGTGGTGAAATCTTTGTCAATGTCACTGCTAAGTGGCCAATGCGCATCCAATGTCCACAACTAAAGAGCTAGTTCTAGGCATCCAGCCAGGCAGATTCCTAAAGAAGGGTCCTTTATGCGGAATCGAACATGAATGGACTCCTCCTGTATTCGGCAAGCAGACGTCCAACTTCTACCGAAATGTCCGAGATTGAATCGCTGCGACATCCGCCTCTGCAGATATGGGATCCAGGTTTATCCTGCAGTTGCCGGATGTCCCTGCGGCGTACAGTCTTGCAGCAGCGTGGATTGTAGGAGATCTATGCCTTGTAGCAAGCCCTCGATATTTATGCAGGTCGAAAGGCGGCTGCAATGAAGAACCCCCCATTCCTGTATAAGCACGGAGCGGAGTTGTGGCCACCATCGCTGGAGGCTTCAAAATCGAGACAGTGTCTCGCAGGACATCTTGAGCTGGATTCCATGTACCTTCGACCCCAAAGACCGAGTTTGGAAGACTATAAATCCCATTGAATTTTGGGGCGTCTGATGCTGGCCTGGATGTGGTAAGAGCAGATCTGGGTTGTCCAAAAATTACGCAGCCTTCCTCAACCCTATCAAGGAGTGGTCCTGGAGGTATCACCGTGCTGAACGCTGATCTCTGAACAATCTGTTGCAGACGTTCACAATGGTGTTGGTATGCACCTGGAGAGGTGCAAGGCTCGAATAAGGTGGAAATGCCCCGATGTCACTGCAGACGAGTTGAAGTGAGGTATTTCCGGTCTAGCCGACTTCCAGCAACTCCATAGAGGTCTTTTAGGATTTTGATAGTGGTGGCGAGGTATCCCTTCCCCTTCGGCATCCAACACCACTTAACGCACAATTCATTGAACCGGTCATCTTCCTGAGGGCACAGTGTGTCTCCGAACCGGCTACCCAAAAAAAAACCAAAGCGTCGATGTCTCGTGCTAGAGCCGGCCAGCCACCACATGTCCTCTCCACGAGTGTTTGTTTTGCTCGAAAAGGGGATCGCTGCGCAACCACGGACCTATATTCATAGCTCCGCAGGGCCTCGTGAAGAGACATGTGCATCGTGGCGCCTGGACCTTGATCTCTCCTCACGTTTTGGTCAACGAGAAAGTCAAGAAGTGACCAGTAATTCAGAACTAGGTCCTTCAAGGTGTACTTCTCAGGTCTGGGATCACAGAGATCAAGCAACGCATCCTCCTAGAGTACATTCCTAGCAGGTTGTCTGGCAGTCCCAGCAAGAGGCAAAATAACTAGTGAACCGCCGACCATAAAATGCTCCAGCTGATTACGGTGCTGACACATATGCAGGATAACTTCTGAAGCAGGTACAAGCCATCTCCGTTTTTCTGCTGTGTCGTAGAGGCCAACAAGCATCCTCTCTGTCGCGCGCATAACGCTCTGGTAGTGGCCAATTTGCTGAAAATGGCATTTGTCGTCCTTCGGTCCAAGTTTGGAATCGAGCTGCGCCACGCCAAATTGTTGGAAGCCTATGGCTCCTCCTGCGAAATTGAGCGATCTTTCGGTGTAACGGCGCGTCCAAGCCACTCATTTTGCATTCTCGTAGTTGGCATTATGCGTGCCCAGCAAAGAATGTGTAGCTGCGCACCAACCAAGCACTGCCAGCGCATTTCGAAAGCAATCGAAATCGACTTGGTCGATCAGATCCCGCTTTGGGCACCGCTCGACACTATCATGGTATGAGAGGCGTTGGGTCCAGTCTGCGTTGACTATTAGGTGCCACTGGACAATGTTCCCTTTTTTCCAAGTAGGTATAATCATGCAGGAAAATTCCTTGACACCAACTTCACCCTAGTATTCGACAGCGCGGACAGCCACCAACAGAGTAGCAAGAATCTGCAGAGGTATTTCGAGTCCTAGCTCACCTTGTCGCTGAGGTATCGGGGAGCCGTTTACCATCAAGACGCCCAAAAACAGCGACAACCAGTAGGTATTAATATTCGAAGGCAGTACTTCATTAGAGACGGAAAATAGTAGAACTAGCGGAAGGGGCGGAATAGACTCTGCGACGGCTTCACCCTTGGGAGGAGAACTAAGTGCTGCTCCGGCCCAGGCAAGCATCTGAGCGTCTATCATCACATTGGAGCTAGTGGCTTAGATTGATAATGTGTCCAACCCGGATAAGTAACATGAGATTCTCGCTTCTTTCTCATTCCGAGTGTTGCGCCGTGAGCCAAAGCCTACATCCAGTTAGTCTGGACCCAATTGACAAAGAAGAATGGTAAGCAAAGAAAATCGGTTGTATTGTGGAAGGTCGACAATGCGGCCACCGATCATTAACATTGAAGCAATGAAGCCTGATCGACCGGAGAGTTGAAGACGCAATTTGCGTTGCCACGGTAGTAGACCGCTTTCGACCACCCGTTCCTGCCACATTAATTCCCAAATCTCTTGAAGAGAATAAGGAATGGGCCATTGACAGGCCCCGTCGTTCTGATGTAATCCTCGCACGTCGTTGCTTGTGCAAGCAGAGCAGAACCGGCCAGAGCGATAGTCGAACCGACCCTGACATCTCTTTTCCCAAACCGTTTTTCCAAAAATCGGAAAATTCCCAGCGGACACGTATCTTTAAGGAACTGTGTCGTACGACATAACCTTCTGCAGTTCTTGCCTAACTTTTGAAGGCAGAGGCAGGTCTGGAAGTGTCGGAGGTCTGAGAAGTCCAGGAATTGATGGACTTTCTGAAATTGTTGGGGGTGTTGGAAGGGTTGGAAGTATCTGAAAGCTGCCCTCTGTCACAGTTTCCTTGCCACGAAAAGGCTTCATAGCTTGGTGCGAGTCTTCTTTTGGGACACTTTTGCTTTTCGGTACAATAAGAGATGTATCGGTAGTATCTCCTTCACCAGGAGCCTCATGTTTGCCCATGGCCGTTGCTTGAGCTCAACCAATGTGTATTCGCCGGGCCAAGGACATCGCTTGACATTATCATACCCTTTGGAAGAGGGAAATCAGAAAATACGCTTGGTTGATGGCGTTGATCCGGGAGGACGATTTGCTGAGCAGAGAAGAAGTTCTGACATTATCTTGAGAACAAGCCAGACGAGGCTGAGAAAGACGAAGAAGAAGAGAAAAGTTAACGTGGTATTGTGATCTGGTGAGGCTGAACTGGTGGCTGGCAGCAAAGGCGCCCTACACAAGTCCCACGAATAGGATCAACCAGTCGAAATAGGCGACGGACCTGCGCAATGCATCGAATGAGGCTGGATACGCAAATGTGCCTATCAGCTCTTACAGGTAGAATTTCAGCCGAGACCGTTGTGGCTGCCTCTTTAGCGGCGGTGACGGCATCTCGCTTAGTCGAGACAGGCCCCGTCTCTAGCGAAATCGATCCCCAGGACTTTGCTCGCCCATCTTGTAGCGCACGAGACACGTGTCAAAGACGCGAACATTCTGCTCGTCGTAATGTGAAAGAAACAAGTCCTGCCGGTAGCCATATCTTTTGTTATATGCACATGAAATCTATTTGTCGGCCACAACTCCTGGGACACTCGGGCATACCGGGCTCACCACCTGCATCTCCAGTCCACCCGTGCCATGAACCGTTTCACCCGTGAAGTAAGATCCCAAAGGTGATGCCAGAAATACATATGCTGTGGCCATTCGACAGGCATACGAGGTCGCTGCAGTGGTGCCTCCTCGACCCCCAGTGCACTCATGGCTTCAGGCGGGTTCCCTTTCGTAGCAGGTTGAAGCGGAGTCCAGCTGTCATTAAAAAGAAGAGGTCAGCAATTGGTAAAGTTGCGAGTGAAAAACTGACGGTATCCAGAAGGGTTTGATGGACATACATAATGCCAGGCGCAACAGCAGTTACCCTGATACCCTTTGGCGCTAACTGCTGCGCTAGGCTCCTCGTGAACGTGGTGATTGCCCCCTTGGTTGGACTATAGTCCAGAAGCTGAGGATTGCCCATGTATGCAGCCACCGAGCTCGAATTTACAATGCTCGATCCGCGCTTCATATGAGGCGACGGATGTTTGACCATGGCGAACATGCTCAGGATATTAGTGCGAAAATCTTCTCCACGACTCCAAGATTGATGTCTTGTATATCATTGCAGATCTCCTGCATAGCAGAATAGTTGACTAGGACAGAGCTTGCCGAATTACTCTTCCGACGTGATATCCATGGCGAGTGGTTGGGCTAGTCGGCCTGCCTTCTCCATCTGGGTCTTTATCCACCGGGCATCTTCCTCTTCCTCTGGGAGATAGACGAATGTTATGTCGGCGCCTTCGCGTGCCACGAGGACGGCGACAGCTCGTCCGATGCCAGAATCCCCACCCCTCACAATCACGGCTTTGTCCTCGAGCAATCCTCGCCCTTCATAATCTTTCAGTAAGGCTCCTTCCCTTCATCGTCCCAGAATTCGAGTTGCGCCAGTTGGCGTTTGGCGCAAGTTTCAAATCCAGCCCTTTGCCCCCTTCTTGGTTTTGTTCCTTCACGGAGCTTGCTGGATATGCCGTTGGAGGGGCCTGTGGTTTTTTTGGACATGGGTTCTTACTCGACTGATAGAAGGGTTTTTGGCTAAGCAACAGGAAATCTGTTCGACACGTTGCAGACATGAGGATTTGGCGGACTTTAATTCTTCAATCACCATGCCAATATGACATCAAAACGATCAGCGGCGGAATGCCGTCATGGGCAAGCTTGCCCCACGAATCACCGTGGAGGAAGCTAGAATACCAGCACTTTTCACTCCAAATTTCTCATGTCCTCGCACTTGCGATGATGACCCTTCATCCCAATGCCTGCGAAGATCATTTTTGCTGTTGACGTGCAAGGAATGAGCTGCATATACGTGCCATATGGCGAAGTCGGCCGGTGCAACGGCCCGTGGGGCAGATTTGGAAGTTAAGGCTGGATTTCTTTTCCGGATTTGAGGGGCGGACTCCTGTAGTAGAATGGTAGGATCGACAAAAACGTGATCATCATTCATTTTAGGTCTTTTTTTTTTTTTGCGGCTCTTGCGGAAGCTTTTGTTTTGTAGTGTTGCGTTAGCGTTTTGTTTGAAACGCCTGCCATCAGGAAACAAAGCGTCAGAAATATACTCCCGCCCTCTTCAGTTTGACGCGCTCAGCGGTGTCCCAGTTCGACAGGTTGGCTCAGCCAATTAGGACAACTGGGCTGTCAATGCTGTACACAAAGCCGAGGAAGAAAGAAGTTGCATCCTGCGTTCAGAAGGTGTTTGATGCTCAGGTGGATAACCTCTTGAAATCCTAGAATGAGCCTCGCTCCAGCATTTCAAGCCATCGGATTCACCTCCATTGGCATCGCATTGGAAACTTTATTGGGTGCGTGATCAATGAGGGACGGACGGCTTCTGCAACAATCTCATGATATCGTAGGGGTGTATCGGGATCTCATATCCACTATGCGCACAGCCGACGCAGCCATCCCCCTTATGCTTGGAACCTTCGGCAGGAAGTCGATGAGGAGAGAGCTCTCCTACGCTATCGATGGCGCGAAGGAGATCGGTATGCTGTCATCCCTGCCCTGCGCAGACGGATTCGAAAGCAGCGCGAAGTAGCCCAGCTCCTCCAGTCATCAATCCACAAGATATGGCCACAGTTCAAGAACGTTGAACGCTCATTCCTCATGAGAAATCCCATGCGCGCGGAGCAGGTCCAAAGGGAGGACTATTGGGGCGAAAGCGATATCGGAGAGAAGCCTCGTGCAAGATTAGACAACACTGGGCCGAGCGACCGGGTGGGTATGGTCGAGGCTGAAATGACTTTCAACCTATAGACGCGGTACTACCGGACCGGTTTTGCTCATTGTTTCATGTGTTGAGCTCTATCTCCGACACCTGCCTTTCGGTTTGGACTAACTGTGGCTTGGGGCAAAAGTAAATAACCTGTCGAGGACATGTTGAATGAAGTTCAACGTATTCAGATCTGTAGGGTCGAAAGAGACGTGTTTGAAACGGATGAACTCGTGAGGCGCTGCTTGAACAAAGCAAGAGGGCAGGGTGCCGTGGTAGAAACGCAGGTGGCAGCTCTGGTAGTGGTGGCGGTGTAGGCGTCAGGGATGGGCATTGGGGGCGTCGGAGGGCGTAATGTGAGGTCGAGAAGAGCGAGTGCTAGACCTCCAACTCGACGCGCAAGTGCAGCCAGTGGGTATTTCCGAGAGGTTGAAGAGAGAGAAGTCACAAAGGTACGCCCGGAGAGTAGCAGATCTCGAGAGGGTGAAGCCAGCGTTACAGGACGGCGCCGCAACCGAAGTCCGGGACCGCGGTATGAGTATGAGGCTATTCATCCCGGAAGAATCTTTGTTGATGTGGATGACGGTGAACCCAAGCGGCAAGAGCGGATTTGCCTTTAAGAAGTCATAGCTAGGATCGAGGCAGCGGCAGATATTCTGGCAGTGAGAGAAGATGAAGCCGTCGTATAGAGACTTGTCGAGGTATCGTATCGTCCGTGCACTCGGCAGGGGCTCACACAAATGCTGGCCCGATGTGGCAGCTAGGTTGAAACAATCATTCTCTTCGCCAGGTTTTGAATTCTTCCTCGAGGTGAGCTTTGAGCTGTGTAAATTTGTTCCCGAACATCTTTCCACAGCGCCAGCATTTGTACTCCTTTGATAAGTTCGCATTCTGATAGCTTGTCTGGCGTCTGGCATCATCCTGCGCGAGCGGAAAGTCCTCGAGCGGGATGAAGAAGTCCGTGTTGAAGCTGTTGTAGTGCTTCCGGTGCTTCAGTCGATCCGAGTGCATATCCCGGCTGATGATGTGGATATGGAGTTGGTTCATCGATGGATGTGCATGGATTCCCACTTTGAACTCTTTGGAGAAATCGCGTCCCGGGGGCAGTTCGTCTGGAGGATCCTCACTTTCCATTGCAGCAATGCGAGCTTTGCATGATTCCGAATAGGGTGCGATCAGCCTGGACAACTCGGATGCAGCCAATTTGACAGCTTCAGTTGCTTCTTTCCGCACCATGTCTAAAAACTCTTGGTCGTCTAGAGCATCACGGGGATTGAGGTCTCGTTTGAGAGGGTCTCGTGGGAGAAGAAGTAGATGAACCGTGGCTTTGGGGAATGCATCGCGAACCAACACAGCCTTATCATTGTAGAGAATGACAATGTCCGAGGGGTAATTGGCCGGCTCCAGGATGTACGCGAGGAGGCCATTTCGTGGGTCACCTGGGTTGCTGTGTTTGCCAATGTGCGTGGAGATCTGCGGCTTTGATTGCTTATGTTTAGGAGACATGAGTTCCGAGAATGCGTTTCGCTTGGTAGCGGGAGCAGCAGGTTTGGAGGCTTCCTCAGGCTGCTCGTCATTATTGCTTCCAGCCCTTGATGTCATTTTCAGAGACCGTTGGTGCCTCGATCGGTGGGAACTGATGCTTCAGATGAGGGTGGTGAGCAGGAAAGAAAAGGCCGAGCTGTAGTTCGATCAGTCGTCCAGGCTCTTGCCGAAGACGAAAGATGGAAAATGGCCACTGCCCGTAATAGCAGCGCAGCAGCGCCAGTTCTTCTACATTGACGGGTGATATTGAGAGTTAAAGTGAGAGTACGCCGGTGAAAACCAAGAAAGCCTGGAGGACAACTGCCCAGCCCAATGCGAGGCAGGAGTTGCTTCAAAGTAACAACACCACTTTACTAATGCGGCATCTGTACGACACTTGCGATTGAATACTGAACACCTCATTCTGGGAGGAAGGCGATACTCAAATGGCCGCCTCTAGCTAAGCTGTCCCTCTCTCTCAGTCTCCCTCTGTCTCTCTCTCTCTCTCTCTCTGTGTGTGTGGGAGGGGTCCCGTTTTCTGTGTCTGGTGTATGACTTGCATCCCATAAGAATCAAACGCCGTGGCAGAATCGTCCTCCATGACTGCCGAAGTCCTCCTTTTCCACTCCCAATAATATGTAAATGAAGATAATCTTTCAATTTTGCGGCGCAAGCCTTAAGAAATCTTGATTCTCAACGACTTTTTTTGGAGCACCCCAAGAAAAAAAAAAAAAAAAAAAAATGCAAGCCAAGCCAGTCAGTCCAGTTCCATTCCACGAGAGACGTATGCACTCTTAACTCCATGCGGCCAAAGAGCTCCAGCAACACTTTGCTTGCGAGACGTGTGATGTTGGTTTCTTCACTTCGTATCGCGCTATCGGCGTCCTCCTTTTCTTTTTTTAAAGACCCCGTCTCTTTACATGACCACGCACCGACTGCAGCAACCTGCGCTTTCTGCTTGATTATCCATCTCCATCTTTTGCCCTGGGCCGAGGGACCCAAGCCCTGGCGCACCGCCGGGATATCCTGACATCTCTCGGTTATATCTTCGAATTTCTCGAACAAGGTCGTAGAAGGCATTGTCAACGTTTATCCGGGATTTAGCAGAAGTCTCGATGAATTTGCAGCCAAACTGTCTCGCCAACTGAGCGCCCTCCTCTTGCGAAACAACTCTTTCCGACTCGAGATCACATTTGTTGCCCACGAGAATGATGGGGAAATAATCTTTGTCCTTGACGCGGAGAATCTGTTGCTGGAAAGTCATGATTTCTTCAAACGATTGTCGCGAGGTTATCGAGTAGACGAGTAAAAACCCTTCGCCGGTCCGCATGTATTGCTCCCTCATCGCCGAATATTCTTCCTGGCCCGCCGTGTCCAAAACGTCGAGGAGGGCGACTTCATCATCGATCATACATTGCTTGCGATATGAGTCTAGACTTGTCAGCATGCATCTCGGTTTCTCGGTTTCGAAAAGCGTGTGTTCGCACCTTCGATAGTAGGGTCATATTCATCGACGAAGTGGCTTTGGATCAACTGGATGGTCAAGCATGACTTGCCCACCCCTCCACCTCCTACCACCACCAGCTTGTATTCGCGCAGAAACTGGAAGGGTTGCGTTAGTTGCGACATTCTCTCTTGCAGTTACGAGGAGGAAAGGTGGAAAATTGAGGTCAAGGCACCTTTGAAGCCATGACAGAGAGCTACAGCCACAGCTCGGGGTCTCGGGATGAAAAAAAACACCTCGCCAGAGACAGGTATTCCAAAAGCGTGAAAGCGGCGTTTATCCTGGCACTGGGGACGGCTCAGAGTGCAAAAATGCGATACAGGAGCCCTTGGCGGAAGGATCTCAGACGGGAAGGGGGAAGGGCGCAGGCGAGAAGAGTTCCGTTCGCGGACGAGTGATAGGGATGATCGATGGGAAATCGGCTGAGGGGGGAGAATAGGGACAGTGGTTGATCGCTTGTGCTCGGTAGCTCAAAGAGTGAAACAGAGGTTTTGAAGCACTTTGTAACGGCGATTTAGGAAGGCACGGTAGACGAGGCGAGGAGGAAAAGAGACGGAGGTTTCGATAGCTCTGCAATATTCGGAGGGTTCGCGTTCGCTTGCGAGGCTCGGTTGAGGATAGTTCGTAGGGTCAAGGTTCAGCAGCGTCGTGCAAGAGTCCAGAAACTCACGGAAACGGTGATGGTTGAGTCGTGCTCAAAGAATGAACAGTGGAGAGTTTGGTTCAAGGGCAGGAGGAGTTTAGCAAGGCCAGGGAGTTTCTGGGAGTGGCTGTGAGGTGGTGTGGATGTGGACTGAGACTCTAGTTTGGGACCGGGGTCAAGGTCCAAGGATCGCAGGGAGAGGAGCCGACAAGGGACAAGGGGTCCAGGTGGGAATGGGAATGGGAATGGTTGAAGGCCCACGGGTCAAAGGGAGAAACTTCAACCACTTTATCAGAGTCGGGGAAGAAGGGGCAGTTGAGACACACTCGGTTGCCCGAACACGGAGTAGCTGAAGTCTTATTGTTCTGTTGTTCGCAGCGACCAAACGTATCCTGGGGCGTGGGCGAAGAATCAATACATTGGGCAAGGTCGCAGTTGGCAGTTGCAAAAGGGAGAAATGTGTTGATCCTTGACAAGAGAAGGAGACGGACGCGCCAAACCGATACTAGCAGACGACTCCTGCTGCTCCTCTCTCCCCCTCCCTCCTTCTCCCTTGGCCTGCGCCGCCTGCGCTTGTTACTCCTCCCTAAGAACTTTGCAGTGATTGTTTCTACTAAAACTACATCACAAACCATCAACAGGCGACCACGATGCTTACCTGCCCTCTTATTCTTCTCCCTCGTATCCGTGGTCGCCGCCTTGCATATCTTTCATCCCATTCCATCGCCTCTCATCTGTGGCACGCATCCATCGAACGAATGTGCTTCTGTTCTCTCTCAGTTGCCCCTATCAAAGAAAGCCCTATGCTCGCCTACCCGCCGCCCGCCAGTTGGTGGAGTGCGGCCGACAAGGCGATGGGACATGTCTCTTAGCGTGGTGCCCTTGTTAGTGCTCGAGAATGCCTCCATTTCTGTCGGCCTTCACCAACCATGGCTCTCCAAGGCTCCTCCAAGAGAACCGGGTGGGCGGTAACCGCTGAATACCCGCCTATCCAACTACAGCCAAATTTTGCACTCCTCGCCTCTTCCGGCTGTTGATTCGGCGGCCCATCCACCCATCACACCCGTTCACACGCCGTCCTCGACTTGCTTCGACCCTAGCACCGCGCCTCTGTTCCTGGTCCAAGGACCCAGAAAACCTTGTAACGTTGTGGCTTCCATGCGCTCGGGACTCCAGACTACGCACTATGTACAGTAGGTGCGAGATAATACAGAACGACGGGGCAAAAAGCAACTCGAGATAACAGTTTTCTCCCTCCGCTGCTCTAATTGATGACCCCCAACGTTCGCATGGCAACAGGGCCAAGCCGCGGCACCATCACCCCCTTCGCATGCCAATCCAAATCACAAGAATCATAGCCGCCCTCGGAGAAACAGAACCAATCCACATGGGAGTCGGGTCTTGGGTGAAGCAAGTCCGTCGAACCACGTTGAAGTGTACGGAGTACGGAGTAGACATTCACGCCAAGGGGATCTCCCCGGTGGCCCTGCGAGGATCAGCAGTCCAAAGAGGTTCAAACCCGGACAGCTGCAAAAGAAATGGGTGACGGAATGCCGATCATCAATGCCTTTCAGATATCCACTTGCTCAGGGTGACATTCTGGAAAATTGCCCAAATGATAAAGTCGCCTTGATTCGTTCAATTCCACCCAGCGGTGCGCCACTCCTGGCAACCATCTGGCATCAGTGATACCAGCACGACCACGTACAGAACCACGGCGGCATTTCATGCATTGACCTCAAAGCTTCGGCCCACGTGTTTTTCCCATGCGTCACCCGCCATTTCCTTCACGTGTTAGCTGCTTTGTACCTACGAACACAGGGGCGAACTCGGAGGATATCTCCCAAGATCTCCATTGGGTATGCATCGCACACTAGCGACCCGGACAACATCTTGCATGAGACGGCCTGCGATGTGGGCGACGGCGTCGCTTGCAAGATCCAGAAGGAGGATCGGTAGCCTCGTTGGAGCGGAAAAGAAACCAGCATCATGACGCAGGTTTCTGAGAAAATGATGCTGATGGGTTGACCACTGTGGTTCTAGAACAACATCATGCATCCTTGTCCTTTTTCACATCCGTCTCATCGTCGGTATCGTCTTCTCCTTCTACTCTGACCCTCGTGCCTTTGACGCCCTCGGCCACCTCTGCCTCTAGTGTGTCCATGTATTCTCGATCGCTGCCCACCAGCGTCACCACATTCTTATTCTTGCCCCATCGAGGATAACTTCCCACCTTGATTCCCTTGGGCTCAACTTTGGCAGCCAGTTGAGTAAGAAAATCGGCCACCTGACTCTCTGCTAGTGGAGTGCTAAAGAGCATCCGATACATTCCTTTCCCTTCTGGATCTTTCAGACGAGGAAGAATGCGAGGCTTCATCCCCTCCAACAGTGTCTCGAATATCCTCGGCACCCCAGGCAGGATATGGATGTTACCGTTGACCACCGAAATTGGGACCCAGAGGTCCTCCTTGACAAACAAGACCTGCTCCTCATCGGGAATATTAGGGTCTGTTGGGAGTTGGGCCATGCGCATCTTTGCCGTCAAGGCTGGTGAAGGTTTATCCCAGTCGAAATCTGGTTGCGATCTGTGGGGTCTAGAGTACTTCCTCATTTTGGCCATGGTCGGCTCGTGTAATTTTAGCTCAAGCCCAAATGCTTTGGCTATTGACTGATATGTGATATCATCGTGTCTCCAGTCTGTCAGCGATGCTGCCCTTCAAGATATATCGCTAGAAGGGACATACGTTGGACCGATGCCGCCGCTCGTTACCACGAAATCATAATTCTCGGACATGCGCCTGGCAGCTTCTATTATCTCATCTTCATCGTCGGCAATCACTTCAACTCTCTTCAAGTGCATCCCTAGGGAAAAGCAGAAGCGGGCAAAATATGCGGAATTAGTGTCGACGGTCTACAATTCGTGCATGGGTGTCAGTTCTGCCTTGTCCCAAACGACTATTACGGATGGCTCTCTGGAGCGTAGGAGCCACCTGACCTTGCCACCCAGGACCTCGTCACCTATGACTATGCACCCTGCCGTGTGTATCATCCCTTTGGTGGGCGTAGAGATGTTGTCAGCGTTAGATGAGGTCATTTTGGAGGAAGGGGAAGAGGAAGAGGACAGGGCGGCGGCAGAGCGGTGCGGGTAGTTTGGCAGAGGTCGTAAGAGGTGTCTCGCGATTAAGGAGAGGCGAGAGAACATTGAACGCGGGAGAGACAGTGAGAGAAAATGCGATGCGGCAGGAAGGATCGTTGTATCTGGACGGTAGCCGTGTATTGATGGACAAGTGGTGCCGCTGCACTCGGTAAATGCAGTGCGCAGGTCGATAAGCCGGCAGAGGGATTGGATTGAATTGCCCCACCATTGACACCAAGTTTGACCAAGCACCCTGCAACCGCTGCTATCGAACCATGCCATTCTGTCGCTGACAACCCGTCGAACAAGTCATCTCGCAGCTCTAGACATCTACCAAGTGAAGTGGACATTCCAAAGGGAAATATTAGAATCAACCTTTCATCTCTACGCACTCTTCCGGCGGCCCCCTGTTTCTTAAGCAACTCCACAAGCTGACAATCAAGGCTGCACAAGGCTGAGCCTTCGCCCCTCGTCGCTGGAAAGAATAATATCGCTGTCGTTCACTTTCCCCTGGGTGAGAAGCAGACCGGATCACGAGGAAATACACTCACCATCACTGCGCAAAGTTTTGGTAAGAACCAGCGAGCTGAACCAACGCCACAAAAAAATGGTACATATTCCTATGCTGTTCCTTCTCGGGGACTGCTGCCTGAGCTTCTTTCGTCCTCCCTCCCTATCGTCCAACAGCAAACACCGACGGGTACACACCTCTCTTCGCTTACCGACTAACACTAACTAGTCGGAGTCAAGGCTCTACACCTTCTCGCAGGAGACCAAGGACCAGCTGCGCAAGTTCCGGCTGGGCACGTCGCGGGCAAAGACGCCACTAGCTAAAATTTGTGAGTGGTGTCTCGAACTCGAGTCGAATATATCCTTTTTGTTTAGCCCAGTTCAATGCTCTGGAATTCGCCCTATTCTTCAAGGAGCGACACACTGGGGCCGAAGAGACGCGTGGTCTACTGGGGAAAATAATTCCCATGGGACCGGGAGAGTTGCGCGTAATGCCAAAGGATATATAGACTTCTGAGAGCTGGGACATTTAGACGGGAGTTATTCGCCGCCTCTCTCACAAGGGCCCGCCGTGCATCATACGCTGACCTGTGCCTAATCATTGCAAAAATCAACAGACCAAATCGACACCAAGACGCAAGAAATCAAACCCTCCTCCGATGACACTTACAGCGACATGCTCGAACTGGCCGACGAACTCCCAGACTCGTCACCGCGGTTTATTCTTCTGAGCTACCCAATGACTCTGGTAGGTTCCCTTCTGTGACCATTCTTTACCCAAGCACAGGCCCCCTATTTCCCTATCCCTACCTACCCTATGAGTTATTATGCCCTTCTGCACCGTCACTCCACGATTACAGCCCACGCGAGCGCTAGCTAACCACATAATCTTCCCCATGAAGGCCTCGGGGCGCCAGTCCGTGCCCTACGTCCTGCTGTACTACCTGCCCGTGAACTGCAACCCGAACATGCGGATGAGCTACGCCGGGGCCGTGGAGCTGATGCGCTCCACCGCCGAAGTGAATCGCGTGCTGGAGATCGTCGACGCAGACGACTTGCAGGAGATCGAGGGGCGGCTGAAGGGCGAAGATTGAGCGGAGTTTCCTGGGCGTGGATCCGACGTCAATGGCGGTGACGATGACGACGACGAAGATGGATGCATGCGTGGATATACTATATATGGATGGGTGGATGGCCCTTGAACAGGAAACCGAACATGCTGGGTCGTAAATAGGAGGCATGGACTTTGAGTGTTACATACCTCCATGTTGTAGTGTGTAGTATGTTTCGAGAGATTGATGATCATTGATAAGCAAAAAAAACACTGCTTGATCGAATGAGTGACTGACTGGTTGGTTGTCTACGTAACTCACGACACGAAAATAACCACCCCTTATATTACACCTAGGTAGCGCAAAGGAGCCCGCCTGCAGGGCAACAACAACGCGACAGACTGAGGAGTTGAGAACGACGTTCTGAAATCCAGGAGAACTGCAATCTCAATTTCAATTTCACAATGTTTCGCTACCATTAAAAACGTGACGGCACCCAGATAGATACCTAGTACTTTATGCAGCGCCCACATGCAAGACAAACGATATGGCTAACTAGGTAAAGCAGATAGTAGATACCCCCGAGGCTCAGGCTCTTCCGGCAATCTCGGGAGGATAAATAAATCAGCCTCGTTCTTTCCTTGATTCTTTTTATCCTTTTCCTGCATCACTTTCACTTCCACATCCCTTTTAACAAACATCGCTGTAAGTTTGCGGCATGTTTCACAACTGTGATCTCATTCTCTCAGCTCCACCGCCCAGGCCGGTTCTGACGGTGAAACCTTTAAAGTATCCCTCCAAGGCCTCCACCGTTCCCTTGCCCTCTACCAAGCGCACAGCAATACCGACGTGTCCATCGGGCCTCACAACCACGACGGCGCCTTCGTCGCCATTCAATCCGACCTTCGCATGGGCCGCGGCCTTTGCATCCAACACCTTCATATCCCTGCGGTCATCCGCATAGACACGCCCAGAGTAGTCTCTGAACACGACAGGTAGGTCGGAGATCTCGATCTCAGGCCTCTTGGCGGCGAGAACCAGCGCGAGCGAGAAGAACCGTGAATGTGGGTTGTCCATGTCGTGGTGGTTGTCTCTCTGGCGGTCAGCGCATCCGAATCTCGTATAGAATGAGTCCTTTGTAGTGAGATTCTCAGCAAAGTCCGCCAAGGCTTTGTGTGCACCCTTCTTGGGGGACTGAGATAGTCCGGCGTAGATGAATAGGCGAAAAGACCCGTTGAATGGGATTTCATTCTCGAGATGTACGACGTTGGCGTCGACGACGCGAGTGACGTTCGAGGGAGGCATTATCCGGCCCGGACGCAGCTTTTGGCTGTTGGTGATGATGAGGGGATGCTGGAAGGGGTGTTCGCCCGAGTGGTTGAATATATTTGGGTTGTATGCTACGCCGAATCCGGACGTGAATTCACAGTTGGCTTTGAACGTCTCCACAAATTCGTTCTTGTGTTCGCTTCCGTCTTGCTTGTGTGCATCGTCGACTTCTGAGGCGGTGGGCTGGCGCGTTGAGAAGAGTGCGGCGTATTTGTTGTCAAAGTTAAGGAGGGTTTCGGCAATGAATCGCCGCTCAATTTCATATGTGGATAGGATGTCTCGTGAGGCGAAGCCGGATTCGACCAGGTGCATTTTCCACGCAAAGTTGACGGCGTCGTGGAAGGCAGTGTTCATGCCCTGTCCTGCTTTGGGGGAGTGCGTGTGGCACACGTCGCCCCCCATGAAGACTCGGTGGTCCAGTGTGTACTTGTCGGCGATGCCTTGACCGATCGGGTAGACGGAGTACCACTCTACGCGCTCCCAGTTGCAGTAGTAAGGGTGGAAGATGCGTTTAGCAGCAGCCTGCACTTGTTCCACGGTAGCGGTCTTCCGAGGTGAGAAATCGGGGTCCGTAGAGCTGGCAATTTGGATGTATAGTCTGACCATGTTGTTTTCGCGGGGAATGACCATGATACTACCATGGTCTGAGTGGATGGTGCATTTCATCTTGATGTCTGGGAAGTTGGTGCGAACTACACCATCCATCACCCCCCAAACATGGGAGATTGGATCTTTGTGTCGGATTTGAACTCCAAGCTGTTCACGAACAAAACTCTTGGCGCCTTCACCGCTGTAAAGGTATTTCGCTCGAACGGTGTCGGTGACGTTGCTGTCAAGATTCTTTAAATCGACCTCGACAGGATATTCCGGGTTCTTGTGATTCGTTTCGAATCGAGTGATGGTCCATGGCCTCTGGATCTTGGTGCCATTCTTCTCCAGGTCTTCGATGAGAACTCGCTCGATCAATCCTTGATGAAGGAGTGCTGTGAAGGGATATCTGGCGTCCAGGAACTCCGGACAGCTGGCCCAGGTCCCTGTCCTCACGATCTTCCCACCAGGTGCTGGATCCCAGAATGCGACTTCAAAAACTCGAGCGGGGTCATGGGCCATGATCTTTCGTTTCAGTCCCATGTTCTGGAGGATCTCAAGAGACCGTGGCTGAATGCCGTCCGCTCGTCCTGTCGCTGTTGGAACAGGTCTGTTGTCGATGTGTCTGACCTTGTAACCCCATCGTGATAGCGATACTGAAAGCAATAAACCCACTGGACCAGCGCCTATGATTACAATATCATACACGGGTATCTCTGAAGACATCTTGAGCTATGATTGGGAAAATGGTCTGAGTTGGCAAACGGAAGGACAAGAAGAGGAGTTGTGGCCAAGATACAATTTGGACAAAGCAGACAAACGGGCGAGCGTGCAGCTTTGTGCAAGACTGGCGCACAGGAGACAAAGATGGATGACCTTGAGAAGGAGAAATGGAAAAGGCCAATTTATGAAATCAATCCTGAAGACGCGGTTGCTCGGCTTCGGAGCATGGCAGATATCTGAAGGCCCGGCCCAAGCGGCGAGGTCAATATTAAGATCAAGCGAAGAGGGTGGCCGTTTCCGAGCCAGTCACCGAAACTGTTGCCGCTGAGAGCTAGTATGGCTGGAGGCGGGTGGAGGGAGTCCAAGGGGAAGAAGTGGTGTTTTCCCGAGCAAGGTCCAGATCCTCTTCTGGGGCTCTTCTGGTTTGGTAAACCACCACCCAGGCATTGGCGACAGCTGGGAAGCCCCAGTAGCGGCCATGGAGGGCATTCTTTGGGCGAGAAGAAAACGTCATGGAGGGAGGAGAGGACAGACAGCGGCATGAGCGGTAGTCCCCCGCAGATTCGGATAGGAATGTCGGCAATCTCAGACTATCACGTGATGCTGACGTCTCAGAGAGTCTCCCAGGGTCACGGGGTACGCGCCCAGCCCCTAGTGCCTTGGCAGGGAGCATCCTTCTTTCAACCTCACGACATGCAGGTTTCCTCCTCCCTCTTGCTCCCTCTTCACCACATGTTCACCAACACTCTGGACCATACAGAGTACTGGGGTGAGGGGAAAGATGATGTGGTTAGGAACGAGGGACTGTCTTGGCATGTCTTTGTCAGGTTATGACATTCTATTCCGCTGAACCACCGTGTCTTGCTACCGTCAGTTTTGACTGATCCTCGATGGAGGAACTTTGCTGTACAGGCCTGCTTGTCGGGGGTATCAATGATGCAACAGGTTCACCTGAGTCTGGGCTGATATGGATATGGATGTGGATTGCTCGGTGACTTTCTCTTCGAGCTGGGACTGGCGGGTTATTCATCACGAGTTGGACTGAGTCTGTGAGTAAACTGTTTGCTTTTGGCTGCAATGCGGCGGATGGACAATAAAGAGATGGCTATAATCCAAGCCAGCACGTGCCTGGAGATGCGTTGCCACCTGCCTTGACGTCGCCTTCGGAGCCGGGTCGCAAAAATGATCATCCGGATCGACTTGGCGCGAGGCAATGACCGCACCGGCAGCGATATCATTCAGACGAATTCGAATTCAACATGTCGCACATTCTGCATCTCTCATCCAAGACACTCCCTTCGTCCCTCTCGGTGGACTAATCAAGACGTCTCTTTTTCATCTCCTTCAGTCAGTGCAATTGCTTTCTTGTTCAGATCGTGTCGAGGTTCTTGCATTGTCTGCATCCTGTCCTGATCGTGTTACTGTACTGGCTCACTTTTCACTTCTGAACCTCTCTCTCTCTCTTCACATTGCTTTCCCCCATACACAAACATGGACATTACGCGTCGCCGCAACTTGACAGCGACAATCCCTTCCCCATTGCTCAAGAACCTAAACAGAGTCGAGGACCTTGGTTGCTTCGATGAAGAAGAATGCCGTTTCTTCCTGCGAGAAGTTGGCGAGCGCGTCGTACCAGTCTACCCTTTCTCCTTTGGCATGGAAGAAGTGTATAGCTTGATCCTCGAGCGATACGGATATGCAGGGCTTCCCGATGCGACAAGCGTACTTCAAGACCTGCTCGAGAATGAACGAAATGCAGCTGGTTTCGGAGACGATGGAGACGTTTGGCGGTCATGGCGTCACAGTTGGAGGCACCGAAATGTAAGTCTCACCCCTTGGCCGGAGTCTATAACATTGACGCCGCCCTCAGGATGACGCTCTCAACCCTTTCATCCCAAAAGTGGGAAGCTTTATCCTGCAGCAACCCACCCAGCCACACATTCGTAAACTCAAGGCAATGAACTTCATCATCAAAACTGAAAAAGCCCAAAGACGGGAGCGGGCTCGTCAAGCTGAGGATGCTGGAAAAAGAAAGGCGTTGATAGATATTTCTCCCAATCAAAACAGAACAACCGAGTCTCCTCCTAGTGACATCTTCACAAAGCCTCGGGAATCGGATGAAGAGAACGCATATCGACTCCCAGCAACCACATACTCCCATCAGAGAACTAGAGCCTTGCTGGCATCGGAAGATAGATCGTCGCCGCCCTCCAATCAAGGGAAAGCTAAGCGGCCAAGCAGGGTTAGAGAGTCGCACGCCACCCAGACATCAGCAAGTGCCTCTTCACAACAAGAGTTCACTGAAGTGGAACCATCCTTGCTTGATGCAGAAATAGACCCAGCGCTCTTGGTCTCCTTCGAGATGCTATCACCTGGTCAGTCATCCTCAGAGCCACGGCCTACCCTGAGAGGTGGGCAAGGCGAAATCCTCACTCTCCAACAGATCGGCTCCTCTCAAGACAACCCTAGCAGCAAGGATCTCAGTGGGGCCTCACCACCGTCGCATATGTTGTCAAGGGCAACCTATGTTGGCTCTTGCGAGACTCCCTGGAGTCAAGGCAAGCCACATTCGTCTAGTCCTGTGACTTCAGGGAAGATCGAGCCACTTAAAGATTCGGCCAAAGTCGATAGGCGGGAACTTGCGGAGCACGACAAGTCAGGAGAAAAACATCGCAAACTTTCGGACAGTCTCAAACATTTCGCGCGCCGCCCTATTGGTGACAGTTCCGACTTGGGCAAGAGGACACGTACTGTCAATCGGCAAGCTAGAGTCTTTGATGGCACAATATGGCATCCAAAGGTGCGCAAGAGGCAGACATCACAGGTCAATCTCCCTGCCGATGACGAAGCAGTGGTGGAAGAGAGGCGAAGGTCCGTGGTACGACGCAGCCTTACACCGGTCTGGCAGAGACGTGATTCTTCACGCAACAGCTGGATAGAAATTATGCGGAATTTCTTTCGGACCGAGTCCGGTTGTTCTAACCAAGCAAAACAGTCCAAGGCTGAAGATTCAAATCTAATTCAAACCGCAGTCCCAGATTCAGCCACGCCCTCTCACACTCACACTGTCACCAACACTCAGTCCCCAGTTGCGCAAGAGCGAAAACTATATGCACTTGGGCTTGACGGAACCATTGATCCACGACTGATCGTGAGAAAATCCAGATCTCTCATGAATTTCAACAAGCCATTGCCGCTCAGCCCTGGCGAAATTGTGCGGTCTCTCTCAACTCATACTGAGTTTCCACGGTCTCATCAACCTAAACTTCCAACCCTCAACAGCACTGCTACTTCAGCGGACCTCGAGTACGACTCTCAAGCTCTGACTTCACAGCGTATTGATCGAAAGGAAGTCCCCACCAAACACCAGCTCTCGCCTGTTCGCGAAGTCAAGAACCCGTCTGCCGCACACGCAGCCGACCCTCAAAAAGCAGGACAACCCCCACTCTCGTAAGTTATCTTTCTAGGTTACGCCATAATTGTCAGAGTACTGATCATTGAGAAGCGCAATCACATACTCTAGCATCGCCAACATGAACCCATTCCAGGACAATCTTAACCCGGAAGTTCCTGTCTTCCTCCCTGCTGTCTCGGCGCCAGAAGGACTCTTTGCCGTTCGCGGAAAGATGCCAGAGCACCTTCGTGCCATGCCATACACCGTTCCTGAGCACATTGCACTTTCCATTCGTCAAGAATTTCCAAACTTCTGTCTGCCACCACCTCGACCAGTACAACCTGAACGTCGCACCTCGAAGTCGCGGATCTTTACTCCAATCAAGAACCTTGTCAACAAGCGCAACAACTCGCAAGATATTAACCGTGATACGCCAACACGAGGTCCTACACCGGAGAAGAATACACGCAAGAACAGTCTACAGAAGCTTGGCTCTTTTTTGAAACATCCCTTCGTGGTAAGTGTTCAACTGCACTCAGATGTTGATCGACTCTGACCTGGACAGTCCCAAGCACCAGCAGAGGTAGAGAAAGTCGACAGCTGGATGAAGGAGCATGCCGAAGCCACTGCGCCGCGCACTCTCGTCTCTCTCGATCCAGCAACTCAGGCACGCATTCTCGGAGACGTCGAACTAATCCTGGTAACCGCTACAAACAACTTCCTCGTCCACGAGGCCAACGCGGCACGTCTTAACCCCGAGATTGTCATGCGTTTCAGCTACGACTGGAGAGCCCATGGTCTTCGTCCCGTGGTCGAGTTTCTCTACGACTGCCGCACCCAGTACCATCTCGTATTGGCCAATATGCACTCAGTCGAATTCTCGACCACGTGCAGCCAATCCGTCCACCTGCGCGACTCATGCATGCAGGTCTGGTCCACCATCGTCGACGACGTCTCAGTGCACGCCTTCTGCCTCCCTGACGACATCGTCGTCAAGCACCTCTACGCCCTCCCACAAGTGTTGAGGATGCTGCGCGCCCCTCAGTCAGCGCATCTGGCTGTCCGAGGCCTTCAGTTGAAGACCTCGGCCAAAATTGCCGAGCGCAAGGCCTTGGGCCGAGCGCGGAAGGCCGCTCGTGGCCCATTTGCCGTCCGCGTGCCCCAGTACGGGGACGGGCTGTTCCACCGGCGCGATATAAGCGTCGACTCAGAGGAGGATGTGTTTGGCGGTCTTGAGGCCGTCGTGGCCAACATGCCGGCGCCGGCGTCGCTTGCTGCGGCACTAGACGGACCAGGCCCCACCGTCCGCAAGGACCATCGGGCCGGCGTCCTCTAGACGTTATCCGTGTCTTGTTTTCCTGTGTTTGTTTTTTCTCTTTTGTTTTGTTTATCGATTGAACATGTTGTTGGAGTCTGCTGTGGTGGGTTGGCAGTGCTGGGTGGTTGTCCTGTCGCCATTTTACATGGCAGAAAAGTGCTTGTCATGTGGTTTGTTCTCTCTTCTCCCTTTTTTTTCATTTTGAAAAGGGGTCCTGCCGCAGATTGCAGCGGCGGGACCCGCCCAAAAAATGTCTGAGTATAAAAAATAAGGCGGTACCCTGTTCCATTGTCAGTGTGAACTGGTCTCGCTGTCGTCTACCCTTCTCATTGTGACGGGCCCCCTTTTGGGAGTGACGCCGTGACGGTCCGAGTGTGATTCCCTTGTCTACATTGAGTCCCTGTGATTCTACGCGCCTGTGGCGTGCCAATCTCATTGCCATCGCTGCCGGAATGATGACGACGACCTCCCCCGTCGGTTCCGTGTGGTTTGAAGACGCCCTTTTTTACACTGCCTCCCAGGTTCTGTGCAGTTTGCCTGATATCTACTACAGCAATCTTCCTCGATTCGACCGCGACAGATATACGGTATTGTCTGGATCTAATTCCGCTGTGAACTGGGTTAGATACTGCCGAGAAGATCTCTTTTTCCAAGATCCCAATCGACTAGTACCTAGTAATATTTGATATTCACAACTCCTCCCTTTCATGTTGACTTTAAGAAACCGGGTTCCACAATTCCGACATTGGGCAGAGGGAACGGTCGGCGGCTTTGTGCGTCGAGAACACGGAACTGGCTTTGTTCGACCGTGAGTGCCGCTGCTGCTGGCGTGTTGAGACACGAGCGACCGGGTGTGACAAAATCCAGCTGGACAAACTCCATGTTTGGTTGTCGAGCCTAAACTGGTTTCTAAGAATACCCCAAACAGGTGTCGAAGCACCTTCACCCTGTTCCTTAGGTAAGGTTGGGCAGAACAATGGACGTGTTTTCGACCTTGGTCGCAAAAACAGTAGCTACTAGCTAGACCTAACAAGTTCTCCAGCACTTCGCGAAGCCTTCTAATGACACTTCCATCTACATACTCCCGACTGTGACTGCGACGCTCACTGAGGGTGAGGGTGGATTGAAGTCGACAAAGTAGACTGACAGGGCCATTATTCAAGAGGCTTGTGGGCACACGTCAACTTGGGTTGCTAGAAAGATCAGCCGCGGGATTGATGGCTACACAATAGTGACACGATACAAGACACTGAGGTCAACTGCATAAAGCGGACCCGGAGTTCCCAGTATGCGATTCTGTCGAGGGTTACGGTCATCATCAACGCAGGCGCTGGAAACAAGTCAAGCTCGTGTGAATAACGGTGCGCACAGGATACGCAAAGGCTCAAGTGAGATAGGCGAGACGGCGTATCCAAGGACGCACGGTTCAAACATGGTCATTTGCCCAGCTCTTGATCGAAATGCTCATGTCTTCATGAACGTTGCACCATATTTTATCCACTCGCCATGTTGCCCTGTGCATTTACGAGAAGCCGCCGTCCTGTCCAGGATCCAACCCTGCCTGGTCTTCAAAGTCGACAAAGCCAGATAACGTAGCCAAACCAGTATAACACCGGACGCATTCCTCCACCAGTGGTCTTAGCGCCTGGTCCACTTTGGCACTTACACCTGCATGCTTTTTGAACACGCCCACCATATTTGCCCGATATTCAGTCAAAAGAGCGCGGGCGAGATATTGAATTTGTTCGTTCTGAGCACCTCTTGAGAGGAATGTGGAGAGAAGGACGCGGAGGGTTGATGACAGAAGGACGTAGTATGTGCGGAGAGCGGATGTGACCGAGTCGGCAGCGTAGCTACTAGATTCAGCCATGTCGCTGGAATTGGAAGGAATTGAGATGCCGAGATCGGGATCTGCCTGGAAGATGACTGAGTCGCGAATGGCAGAAATTAGGCCTGCGTCGAGGAGAGCTCCTGCACCGTCGCGGGTTCGTGAGATATGCAGGAGCAGAAGCATGCGTGATTCGAAGATGGAGAGGAGGTAATGGCGATCTGCGTTGGGTGGACAGGTTAGCAACAAAGGGGTCGAATCTTGTCTAGCTTGCGTAAGGAAACTCACAAAGCGGTTCCGAGCCCTGAAACTCTGCCGCAACGTGCTTGAGAGGGTCGACCAGGATCTCTAGCACATTGGCTTTGACGAGCGAGTTGAGGATGAAGTTAGATTTCTCCGCGCGGGCCAGGGAGGTGAGAAATGACAGAAGACTCAGGGCGTTCAGTCTGCAAGTGTCTACGCCGTCTTCGGCATCGTCGCACAGAATTTGCACGACACGCTGGCTTGTCGACCGGACGCAGTCCATGCTGTTACGCCTTGCTTTAGCCTTTACATCCGAGTCGCCACCAGTCGAGGATGTAATCCGGCTCAAGTACTGCGAGCAAATGCTGTAGAATATTGTCCTGAGGTTCGTGTTTGAGTTGGATGCCGCAATACCCTCAACGGAGGCACGGAAAAGCTGGAACAATTTCTCCGTAATGAGGTTGTCCATATGACTGTTTGCGACGTCTGTTTGGGGGAGAGAGAAGAGCAAGGCATCAGCAGCTCGGGCCAGTTCCATCACATCAGCTCTTCCATCGACGATGAAGACATCAAGCTTGGGAAGCATAACTTGTAACATGTGCAGGATGAACTGCACCTTGTTTGTCGCCTCCATAGGACAACTTTCAATGATAGCTATAATCATTTCCACATATTCATGCAATGCATCGCTTCTGGCTTTGTGGGCAAGGATTGACCGATTTCGAGCTTCAACCTTGGCCAACAAAATGTCGGCCTCGTCAATCAGATTTTGCTCGTCGATTTTGCTGCTGCCCGGTGCTGTGGCCTGATTTCGTACAATGTCGGCCCGGTAGGCATTGAGATACTCGCGGATCATCTTGACATCGTAAAGGCTAGGCTGGCTCTCGGTAGCCTCTGTCAAATAGATTTCGAATTCTACGCCATGATAGAATTGAGGTTCTATTTCAAGACTGGCAGAAAGATCGAGTTCAAGGAAGTCAAAAAGCATGAATACATCGGGATTAGTGATGATACTGCCGTCCATGCTTGTAGTCTTGCCTTGTAGAGTTGACAGGGTCTGTCGGAGGGTTGTCGACAGCCCTTCCTTTGCGGCAGTCCGTATTTCAGTGACAGTGTAATTGTACAGAGATGCTCGAAAGGTGAGAAATTCGGCAAGAGCTTCGGCCGACGTAGCATACCAGAAAGCAGGGTGACGCAGGCTATTGCCGTCCCACAGAGTTTGCTGACTGACGACGGGTATGCTGATATACATGGACTGCAGGAATTGAAATCTCCGAAGTTGGCCAACAACGATTGCTGTTGATATGGGAGACGACCATAGATGTTTCAGCACACGCAAAGCGGCTGCTTTCATGTGTATCAACCAAGAAGACATAATTCCATCCTCGTCGTCGGGGTAATTCTGAACCAGATCGACAATAGAGTTGAAAACAGCAGTCACAGTATCGATGGAGTCCGAAATCGTCAGACGCTCGCCCAATCTACCAAAACCTATCAAGAGATGGGCAACGTTCGGGAGGTCTGGTTGCGTTTCAAGGCACGCGTTGAAGAAAGCCAAGATGCCATCTTTCAGAAGATAGCTGACTGACTCAAATCCTTCTTCAAGTTCCCGGACATCGAACTGCAACCTAGCAGACAGATTTCTGGCGATTGGCCCTAGCTCAAAGCCGGGATCTGGACCCAGCATATCCACAATTCTCCGAGTTCGACCAGGAGTAGAATCAGCGGCGAGGAAATGGTTGTTAAGCTTCGGTGAGCTGGAGAGCTTCTGTAGCAAAGCCAGAGCGCGAAGCGCCAGCTCCGAATGTCCGGTAGCAGCAAACTGGCAAAGATTGAGCACGATTTCCGGGTTTGCAACTAGACTATCTTCTAGAGCATTTAGGGTTGGCCGGGCAAGAGGGCCATCTTGTGCCAACTGAGATTGCACTAGCGGTCTCACTATGTCGAAATAAGTTGGCTGTAGGTCAAGCACTCGGTTGATGATGTCAATTGAACGTTGTAGGCTGAGGAGCAAGGGCGAGTCCGCAAGAGCAGCTTCAGCAGTTTCTCCGGATACGCGCAAAGTTTCCATCAACGGCTTGTTCATGTCGCTGCTCAGGATCCACTGCATGAGTCTGGCAAATGGACTGCGTTGAGCATATGATGCTGCCTCCGGCATCTCTTGAAGAGCATCATGAGTGGATGTCGTACGGTCAAGCATGGCCACGTAGTCTTCGTTGAATCCCTCCAAGCCAACGGCCACAAATTCAAGGCAATGAAATGAGCCAATCGATCGTTGGAGTTCGTCAGTGACTTCTAGGATGGCTTTGACAAAGACTTGACCGCATACAAAATCAATATAAGGTGCTAGTCCAGGGGCCCTGTATGACGCGCCTAGATCTTTGGGGAACGGAAGCAAGTCAGTCCCGAGCCCGGTGGACGGCAAAGAAACGACCAGATCGCGCAGGAACACAACAAAGGCGTCATACTGGTCAAATGACATTGCGATTGAATTGAGGGTGTTTTGTAGGTTGAGCAAGGTGGGTTTCGGAGGTGCTATGGATTTGCTAGCGGTTGGTCGGGCTCGGTCATGGCTGTTTGCGGCCCAGTCATCGACGATCTGCCACAACGTCGCAGCTGTTTGAGCAGTCTTGTCGGTCAGTAACGCGTCCAGCGCCGCAAACACACTTGCTCTTAGGTAACTCGGGACAGGACCGGAGCTGAGAAGCAGGAGAGCCTGTGGGAAGGCTGGAGTCACGGTCTGTAGGATGTACTGGCGCGTACCACTGGGCTGTCGACTGAGGTGCGCAAGCAAGCGGAGATAACAGGATAGCATCACAGGGCTCTCAAGCTCGTTCATGTCGGTCGGCTGGACTTTCCGTACGTTTGGTAGCTGGAGTGTAACAGGATGCTCATGGACTTTTTGCGAATAGAGCTCCAATTCGGCAAAGATTTGTTGATAGTTCATGGAAGGGTTGCGTCTACCTCTCGTCGGAGCAGGGAGTGAGTCGTCTAGCAAGAATTTGTGGGCAGCTTCTGCGCACTCTTGCTCCTCTGAGATCGAGCACAAAAGCTCGCAGAAAGCGCTCACCCTTGGCACTGTTTGTCTTCGAGATGCCCACTGCAAGAATCCGTACAAATTATTGTCGGGGTCTTCCCACCATTGCTCCGCAGCCTCGGGTCTCCCTTCAAAAGCGAAGGAGATGAGGATGAGAAAGCATTCTAGATGAAGCTTATTCACGATCGTGCCTTGATTGGTAGGGGGTAAGCCTTCCTGCATTGCTATCAGCTGATTCAGCCTCTGATCGTCTTCTTCGGTCCTGAGTTTTCGAATTGAGTCAGGCATGTTCGAAATGAAGGCCTCGGTGAAGTTCTCTAGAGACTGCATGAATTGCAAGCGAAAGTAGGATGATGTCTGCTCGCCTTCGAGCGTGAAACCCGCTGTATCGCTGAGAAGCAAAGCTACCAGTTCCTGCCGCGCTGGATGCCGCCAGACATCTGAATTGGTGCTTGTACAAACTGCAAGCATGAATTCCAGGGCGTCCTCTTTCAATGCTGCCTTGACCGCATCTGCCCGCTTGTCCGCTCCGGGGTCCTGGTCCGACAGGTCGCGGAATTGCCCACTGTACTCAACGGTCCACCATAGGCTCAGAACCGCTTGGAAAGGCCGGATGGGGGCAGAAGAAGCATCTTGGGGCAATGACCCGAACACCGAGTCAAGGGAGGCAGTGCTTTCCTGGGAAAGGTGGCTACCGGGGGAGCCGTACTGCCGAAATGCTGTTGAAAACGCGGGGAGATAGTGAACCAGATTGAAATCGAGGCGGCTCCAGCGCGGAAGCACACTGTGAAGTTTCCGAAGATCTTCCTGGTTGGTGTAGTCTCCTTGGAACAAATACGCGAGAATACACGCCAGAGCTTCATGCTGTTTGAACAGACTGTCTCGTTGAAATTCCAGAGTGGCATAAAACTCAGGACCCCGCGGTCCACCCAGGACCGCCTTGCTTTGAAGTGCATCCGCAACCTTGGCTTGTAACTTTTCAATATCCTCCAATGTACTCAGGCATTTTCTGGTGAAGATTGACCCATTGCTAGGAACACCACCATCAATATCCAAAACACGGGCAACGGCGCTTTCAAAGACTCGTCTGACCCCACCCTCAGCTTCCAAACTGAGCGACTGTTGGAGTGTAATCCGTAGGGATTGGAGAAGGAGGTCTCTGCGATTATGAAATTTGCTCACTGCATCCATCACAAAAGAGTCTTCCGTGGTGTGGATATCGGTCTGGCTTTGGATGAGCAGTCGTCCGGCCTCGATCTCGTCTAGGTCTAGGGTCGTTGCAATGGCCCGGCTGATGTGCTTGAATTCGTCATTGACGCCGTATTCTTGGTCGTCAACGCTGAGTTTCCCTACGCATGAGTCAGCCAGAAAATCCCCCAGAAGGGACCAAAGGACACCGTACCATTGCTGTAAGCATCTCGATCAGCAGCCGTCGGTGTTGTCTTGTCCAACAGCTTTCTGAAATCCTCGATGCTGTCTTCTAGCTCCTGCCACAGGCGATCAATGTTGGCCAATCGCGTTTCAGTGAAGGCAACGAGATCGGCATGAAGACCTTGTAAGCGCAAGAGACTGTCCATGCTGACAATGTTCGTTTGGAGGTCATCTGAGAGTGAGAGACGCGTGAGAAAGTTGTCGAATGGTGGCAGCCTTTCTGCGCGTGTCAAAAAAAGTCGCAAGCGCGACCGAGTTGCAGTTCTGCAAGGTTGTCGCAACTTCCGAATCAAGTTAGTGCTGCCAAGCTCGCTGGTCGCCTGGCTCTCGCCATCTTCATCTTCACACACCATTAATAGCCGCCAGCATCAAGCAGTTGTGACCTGGACTAAATGCGGAGGTTTTTGGTCTGCCCGGATCATGACTCTGGCTCCGGACCAGTCTTGCAACCCTGCTGACCGGAGAGATGTCGGAGGTTAACATTGCAACTGCGGTTGGTACGAACTCGATATTTCCTCCCCAAAGGGGTCTCCCTATCCCTCAGCCTCGCCGACTAACAATGTCATGTTTTGTCTCACAGGAAAACTAGGAGCGGACACTCAGAAGGTGAGAGGTCAAGGGCTTGAAGGTAATCTTGACTCAATCAAATTGTTCTGAATTAACAACGTCCCCTTAGACCTCAAACGCATCTTGTGGGAACAGCGGAACTCGTATGTGTGCCACGTTTATTCCACTGTTAAGCGTGCTGATTCGTGATCCAGTGATAAGATTGAAGAGGATATCTTCCATACAATATTGGAGCTGCTCTACAAGACCGTCTCCAAGGAGAAGCCGGTGTTCCTTCGAGCCACCACCAAGCCAACGACGAGGAACACAGCTTCATCTCGTTTGCAAGCCGCGTCTGCTGCCCTCCGCCTAGTGGTCGAGGTGGCAACCCCAAAGCTCTGTCTCAAGACTGCTCTTTCGGTATTGGACCACATCATCGACACTCTGCCCTCGCCAGATGGTTCGCTATGTGAGCCCCTTCAGAACGACTACCTCAAGTGCTTCAGAATCCTCCTCGGCTACGCCCCGCATGGGGAACACATGCGCCGCAAACAATGGCAGGCATACGTAGATTTTGCACTCGCGTGCCTGTCGGCTGGTCTAGATGATGCCGTGGTTGACAGCAGCCTCTCAAGCAGCCGCTCAAGCAGTGCGGCCTCGAGAAACATTCAACAATTGTCTTTGCGTCTCAGCCACACAAGTGGCAGGAGCACCGGTAAGGAGAATGCTTCAAATTTCGAGGACATCCTGACTGCGTTGAAGAATTTGACATCTTTCGTCAACGCACCAGTCATGTCACGAGCGGCCCCTATTGCCGAGAAGATCCTGGACTTCCTGCAGGTCGACAGAATCGGTCAAGAAGGGGCATTCGAGACTTTGAACAACGTGATTTTCGTCTCTCTTACTGAGGATGTTGCTTTTACTCAGACTTTGTTGTCTCACCTTATCCCCATCATCAGGCGACTATGGTCAAGTAGGTCCATCCTTCTCCAGCAACAAATGCTCATCACCTTGTTCTCATGTCGATATCTGTTTCTCGCTCCTAGTGGGCCATGGCCCGCAATCGATTCAACGATATTAGAACCACTTTTGACCACAGTCATGTCCGACTATCGCACAAGGAATGAAAGGGACGTCCTACATTTCGACGATCTGCAGCCAATTCTCGTGTCAGAAAATACCCCTTTACAGCTCAGACAATTCAAACCCGCTCGGAACTCCCCGCGCGCAGTTACCAGCTGGTTTATATTGTCGATTATTGCATGTCTCATCGTTGGGTTGAATCTCAAAGGACCTGCCCAAATTCCTACAGCCGATCCAGAGGAGGTTCCGCGGAAGCGACAAAAGGTCCAAAGTCGCCTAGATGAGATTCTCGAACTGGCGATGGCGGGAAACTGGCAGGAGAAATTGGTTGCTTTACAGATTATCATGTTTCTTTTTGATCAGCCTGGAGGCATCGATCAAGAATGGACAAAGGGTCTCTACAAGCTCTTGCCGGAACTAGGAAGCGAGGACCCTACCGTGCAAACGTGGATTTTCCTGGTGTTTTCGCGGTACGTTGTTTTCTTGAACTTCAGATTCAGTCGCTCATGGTAATCTAGACTAGCGCTCGATAATGCTAGTCGCGTTCATGAACCCTCCAATTTCTGGGTACAGGTCTGGGATGCAGCTAGCAGAGCAATGACAGTGGTCCCCACAACAAGGGCTGCATGCCATGCACTCAATGTGCTCCTCCAAGTAGGGGCTCTAGACTCGTCAATGAGCGCAAACCTGCTGGAGAGTACCTTGTTCGGGGGTGGTAATAACGGGCCCAGCAATCTCACAGACACTTCGCTAGCCTTGATGACCGGCGCACTGCGCTCCAAATTCTTTGACAACGAGAGACGGTTTGAGTCTTTCGGGCTGAAGATTATCGGCTGGCTCACTGTTCGTTGGACTCTCCGTACGTTCGTTCCTACCGGAGCTTTGCTTATCATGACTGACTCTTCTGTAGCGTCGAACCTTGATCGCCTCCACAATGCGCACATCGTCTGCCACGCTAGACCGGAGCTCTTATTCGGGTTGCTGAGTGCTATATGTGGGCTCGCAGATGCAACGGCGCCTGGTGAAGCTTGGACACTGGCGCATTCATTGTTCAAATCGTCGATGATGGCATCAGCCAATCTCGACTTCTTACAGTATCTTCTCTCCATCCCTTCCGCAACGATCGAGGCAACTGAGCTTTCCAACCCTACCTCTCGCCAATTTGATACGTCCACCCTGGCTCGCCTGTTTCGAACCGTAATGGACTTTCTAGCAAACAAGACGAGGGATTTCCTCCACTCATGGAAGGCTATCTATGCTGAACGCATTTCAAATATCGGAAATGATATCGTGGAAATTCTGGGTGTTGTCACGACCGTCTCCTCTGCGCTATGGGTTCGCTGTAGTGCCCAAGCTCCAGGATACAGACAGCCTTTGATTCTCCCTGAGAGCCGCCGCGTCCTGACGGAATTTGTCGTTAGCCGGAGCGTCGACCGCTCTCGAGAAATGGCCAATCGTATCTGCGCTTGTATCGTCACGATCCACAAACAGCTCTCTCGTAGCAGTGACGGCCATTACGGTGAAGAATATCAGGCTGTCATCGAATCTGCGCTGCAAGTTGTTCGTCACGCCATGGCACCAGCAAGCACCAATGACCCTTCGGACCTGGACTTCTTGGACGATGATGCTTGGGACTCGCAGGCAACGCAAAGGAGCCAGAACGGAGCTGGTATGGATATCTCGAGACTTGACATTCCAGTCTGCAGCGATTTGCGTTCTTGTTTGGCAAGATACGCGGTGGAGCTGACAACAGCTCTGCAGAGGGTGAAGTCGAAGGGACTGTTCGACTCTTCAGCAACCGCTTTGGTCATTGACCAGGTTTTAGCTCTTGATCCAATCTCGCTCGTTGCTGCACGAGGAGCTGTCCAAGACTTTCTTAACCTGAAAACTGCAATGGCTCGTGAAGATGCACATCGCTTGCTCAAGAAACTTGGCGAGTTATATCTAGGGAATGAAGCCTTTGGAAGATGCGAGGCTGCTTTATGTTTCTGTCTCAATGTCCTTGAAAGTCTCACGGATCTGTGGGCAGCCGAAGCCATAGATGATGCTTTAGCGGAAACGGCACTCGATATTTATTACTGGTTTGTTAACACCATGGTCCGCAAAGGCGTTGCGTCCCAGAGGGTGCTGTCGGCAATGGCGAACCTTCTGGATGTTCTACTGCGCAAGAGTGTATCTTATGGCGGTGAAGATCTACCGTCCCCCCGAACAAGCCTGCTCAACGTTCTGGAGGTTAGTGACTCGGCAAATCAACATCGCCTTGCAGAGAAATTGTCCCATATCTTCGAAAAGTATGTCCTGACTCAACACGAGGCAATATTCGATGATGTTGTCGGGAAGTTGCCTTCCGATCCCGACAACACAGAAGGTATTGCCGTACGCTTGTACATTGTTTCCTACCTCGGGGCTCGATGGCATACCGTTCTGAGGCAAGCAACGTATCACCTATTTGAGACGGTGGCACATGTGCCTTCTACGACAAAAATCGGATATGGCTGTATCGTCAGGACCTGCAAAGTGCTCGAACTCGACCGACCGAGGCAACTGTTCAAATTGTTTTCACCCCAGATCTTCTACACATGGCTGTCGCAAGAAACCCTGGCTAGCATGCCATTCCAACTATTTGAATACGCCTCTTTGCAGGAGATGGCTGCTGACAATATTGGTGAGTTAACAGGGCAGATTGCTCTTCGTGGATTTCGCCACTCCGAAGAGCTTGCTCAGCTAGTTGGCAAGGATTGGAACTCTTTGCTCACAGAACAGTTTGCCTATGCTGAAGCCTACACGCTTGCGTCCGAAACTAGCGTGCCGAAGACCGACCGTCTTTACGATGGCTCGGAGAAGTTGGTGCGGAAGCAACTAGGGTCACAACTATACCTCCAACGACTTCGCGAGTGCCTCCCGGATATTATTGCCCTGCTTGTGATATCCCTTCAAGATGACCGGGGCATTGAAAAGGCTCTGCCGGCCCCCAGTCTCAAAGTTTGGCAAGAGATAGTAACCGATTCGGGTCAGAATATGCAGTTACCACTTGCTCAGCAGCCATGCTTTCGGGCTCGCTGCCTTCCAGAGGAATTAAAATATCTGTGCTCGCGACTTCATCTGGAAGAGACTGACATATGGACGTCAGGGCTCCTGGTCCATGTTTACAGGCAACTTTTGGATAGGGCGAGACCAGCATTAGGGCCCCTGCATACCTGCAGTATCATTCGAAAAATCCGCATCGTCATCAGCCTTGCAGGGCCGGTTGCTCGGGAAGGCTATCCGTTGGAGATGATGCTCCATAACCTACGACCCTATCTTACTGTTTTCCAGTGTGCTGAGGAGACAATGGGCATCTACCGCTTTCTTCTTCGTCACGGAACTCCATCTCTATCCTGCCGACCTTCATTTATTGCTGGTCTGGGCGTATCAATCTTCGCCTCTCTCACGGGTTTCATCACGTCCTCCCAAGATAGTACCACGCAGGAGGAACATTTTATCTCAACTATGACTAATGCTCAAGATTTTCGAGCTT